CGTAGGTCAGAAAATAATAAACTAGGCACGCTATCTACTTGTTATTATTTTTTTTACCTTCAGTTGATTCAGCATGGGGAGAATATGGCCCAATCATAAAAGGACGAGATCACTGTGCTCACCAAGCTCCTGCTCCACCCTCGCCTCAGTCTGGTTGTGAGCCGGAGCATTATAAGATCATCACCTTCTTGCCGCTGACGTTCTCACGTATGTTTCCGAGTTCTTCACAATCAAGTAGATCTATTGCACGAAGCCAGCGTTCACACCCATACGGACGCTTCCGCGCTGTAGCTGATGCAGCACCAAACTGTCCTCAACAGCCCCAGCACATTAAATCTGGAGGTTCTTGCCCTTGGAGCGAGATGTCTTAACTACCACTCGTTTCCATTTCGTAGCACGTCCCAGTGAGCGCATGCAGAACACGTTAGAGTTTGTTTCGTCAAAACAGACGATGTAGTCGCCGTCATCTTGATGTTCGATCAACGCTTTTGCGAAACGGAAGCGTTTCACCTTATTTGTGTCGTTATTACAAGTAGATGGCTCCTTTAAATTTATAAAAATAAAACGAATATCATAATGTTAAATATTAAACGATTAAACACTTCTTAGCAGCCCAAATACCTACTTTAGCGTTATCAACTTCACGGTAGACGTCGAGAGTTTGACACCGAAACGCTCAAAAACTTTGTCTGCTAGCTGCGATAACGTCAGTGTACAGTCCTCCTCCAGGTACACCTCCATGGCAATACCATTTTCTCGGTACACTTGACGGCGCTTGCACGTGTGCTGCCACGGGGGGGGGCTGGGATCCCCAGTTTTGCGCAGCCTATAGGCAGCAGCCCTCGACATGTTGTTGTTCTTGGCAACTGTAAGCCTGTAACGGGGTACGAACCCAAGCGTACCCAAGTTACATGAAGAGTGACTTGTCACTCTTGTAATATCTGGTACATGGTACCAGAGGCTCTAGGAGCCAACCATTGCATGTCTACCTAGCTTTTTTATAGGTGATTTATAGTTTGTATGATAAACAAAGCTAAACTTACCTATAAATACTAAGGACTTTCACCTAACAAAACGAGCCGCACAATGGCCATTTAATATTTATGCACAGATTCAATCCCAATACTAAACGAATCTGTGGCGTAATCGGAACCCGCGTAGAGATCCAACTCTACAAAGATCAAGCTGTGCAAGAGCCAATCAACGCGCGTATCTCAAGGTTCCGAAAGCTCATCCCTGCGCAACTACTGCAACGATTTAGCGGATGGTCTCAGCTTTAAAGGCTCATTTTCCGATTTGCTCCTGTCAGCGCACAACTCTTCCAACATTGAGCCAAGCAGATAAAGTCAAGATGAACAAGTTTCTGGTGCGAGGGCTCGGCTTCTACAACGATGCGTATGACCTGTTTGTCATGAACGTGGTCAATGTCGTGCTCACCGAGCAATACGGCTCGGATACGTACTCGTCCACCATGAAATCTTGGGTTTCAGCCGGTGCAATCATCGGCGCTGTGGTCGGCCAGCTCGCCTTCGGCTTCCTAGGCGACGTCTTTGGTCGCAAGGTCAATATGATCTTCACCTGCTGCCTGCTGATCCTCGGCGGCATTCTCTGCACCGCAGCGTACGCAGGCGACGGCCGAGCCACACTCTGGTTCCTCGTGGTCGCACGTCTGATTCTTGGTATCGGCATCGGCGGAGAATACCCGCTGGCGGCCAGTACGACCGCTGAAGACTCGACAGACTCAGCGGATCGTAACACGGCGGTGGCTAAGACGTTCTCCCTGCAAGGTGTGGGCCAAGTAACGGCTGCTATCCTTGGCAACCTGCTCGTACAGGCGTTTGCTGACGGCAAGCCCGGTGAGAACAGTAGCTCCCGACTAGAGGCTGTGTGGCGTATACTATTCGCCATCGGTGTCATTCCTGCCCTGGTGGTCTGCTACTTCCGTTTCACGGCCGAGGAGACTGCGGCTTACAAGAACGCACAGCAGCACGGCCAGTTGACACAGGCCACCACACAGCAGCAAGCCCGTTTCAGCTTCATCTTTCGTCACTACGGAGTGAGTCTACTGGGCACAGCTGGTACTTGGTTCCTCTTCGACATTGTCTACTACTCGCAGAACCTCTTCTCGGCCAGTATCCTCAAGGTGGTGGGACTTAGCAACCCGTCGCTGCAACAGGTGACGACAGAGGTCGCGTTCGTGTCGCTGATGGCGCTACCTGGTTACTTCGTAGCTGTGTACGCTATCAACCGCTTAGGTCGGAAGAAGATGCAGCTTCAGGGCTTCTTCTTTATGACTGTTCTGTGTTTGATCATGGCCATCTTCTGGGACGACCTCAAGGACCAGTCGATCCTGTTCATTGTCTTATATGGCCTCACACTGTTCTTCTCCAATTTCGGCCCCAACATGTCCACGTTCGTGTTGCCCACGGAGATGTTCCCTACTCCGATCCGGTCGACGTGCCACGGTATCTCCGCTGCTGCTGGCAAGGCCGGTGCTGCGATTGGTTCGTTCGGGTTCTCGATATGGGTGGACAACCCTAGCTATGGCTACACTGGTGCCTTCTACACGTTCGCTGCCATCGCTGCAGTTTCCATCCCACTTACGTGGTTCTGTGTGTTCGACAACACCAAGGGAATCGAGGAGATGGACGCTGACTTCTACCTTCGTCTTAACGGTGCAGACAACTTCACGCGCGAGTCATTCAACTCCCTTGCCAAGATCAGTGATGCCGCGAGCGTCAGCATGAACATGACACCTGATGTCTACAAGAAGACCTCGACGCCCAGTCCGAATAAGCAAGTGTAGGGCTTTAAATAAATATGTATCTATTTGATTCATAACTAATTCGTAGTAGTAGAAATGAATACTCAAAGGACCAAAACTCGGTCAAGTACGATGTAGTTAGCACAATTTGGTCTGTCCTTACCAGTCATAGAGTTAAACACTACCGTATTGAGGCTTCCTAGGTCAAGTGGCACATTTTAAACTTAAGGTACATTACAGAATCTTTATGTTTAAAAAATGTCTTTAGATTTGCCCACAAAGTGAGAATTGTGGGTCTCAAGCGGAAAATAAGTGCTGAACCCACCAGGTAGGATGGCAAAAACCCACAATTATCGAGGGGTTTTACGGTTAGTGCGGCGCCATTTACAGTATGGCGAATGTAACATTTTGGGGTATGTATCCCGCTATTTCTTAGGTTTAATCGAGCAGCGCAACCGCGTGGACGTCTACCAGTACACATTAAGAGTTGTGTGAGGTGCCGCGCTTCAACCTTACGTGGGTTTTGATGGTACCGAGTGCCTTATGCTGTGGAAATACCCTATTGGCCTTCCATCGTTCATTGCCTTTGCACTTCAGAGTAACTAAACTAAGACCGTGAGATGAGTAAAACCATCCTACAAGGTGGGATCCCACAAAGTTCTGCTACAAACTGGCAAGATCATCTGGAAGACAGTGAGTTCTTCTATTAATAAACACCTCTTTTGTCCGAAAATCAGGGACAAAACTCACATATGTTTTGTAGTAAAGCGACAAACATCATACATGTATTTGTGCAAGTAAAATATTTTCTCCCTAAACAAAAACTTTTACATCTATCAAACGCGAAATAAGAATAAAACATAACTTAACTACGCTTTTTGCGACGCTCAAGCTGAGCCACAGGGCTTCCTGACCGGGGTTACTGGGCTTCGAAAAGTTACTTAACTTTAGAAGGAAATAGAGTTCTTATACACTTTGCCGGCAATTTCTCGGTGTAAAAATCTCAAGAAAAGATTGATACAGTATCCTAGAAGATTTTGTTTCCGCGTGTACAGAGATTTGCCTTGAAGTAGCAACCGCTTATTCTGCTTGTTGCTTTTCACGTCAGAACAACGTGAAGTGTAAACTTGCAGCGTAAATGTAGCACAGCATGGACAAATAGTGTTTATACTCGAAATTGTTCAACAACGACCAACAACTGGTTAATACGTGTCACGAAAATAACAAGATTTGATTAAGTTGACTGAGTTTCGGATTTTAAGGATTGACTGTACCGAAACTACCACAAGCTACTGAAATGAGTCAGCTTCCACAGCTACAATTTGGATCGCATATTGTACCTGTAGTGCAAGCATTGTAATGTTCGCATAGGTGTTTATTGGTTTTGCAATGTAGATATCCCTAACCGCCGAAGTCTGGATTGCAGGGACCAGGTAGTATCTGACTGAAAGGTTTCAGCTATAACAGTGTTGTTTGTTGACAAACGTTAGTGTTCTTAGTGGACTGCTAAGTCTTTTGTGATGCCGGAATAGACGTGGGACCATACTAAACACACAGTGGGAGTCAGTAGAAAACGACCTGAAACGAAAGTTACGTCGGTCAGTTATTCTTCTGCCCAGTGAATGGTTCATTCAAGGCTCACCAAGCAAGACAATTGCATCCAGTATCCGTATATACTTCACAGAGTTCCTCAGCGCCTTACGCTGAACATCATAAGGTTAACCTGCATGGTGTTCAGAGGTAATCTTTATGAAGGCTATGCCTAATAGTAGTGTTTCTGGTGGCTAGCTGTTCTCATAACAGCGTAGTTTTCGACGCTTTGTAGAAGTATAACTGGAAGATTTTCGATCAGAAGACGCCAACTGGCAGCGTTTCCTTTGAAGGAGAACTTGATCAATTTCTGAGCGAGTGCGACTTCCTTTACAGTCGTGGTTTGCTACGCGTACGCATTGAATCCTTCGTACTTGAATAGTACATGTACTTGACAGTTCTCGTTG